GGCAGAGCAGTGAGTGGAGGAGGAAGAGAAGGAGGAGGAGACGGTGGTGCTGGGCGTGGGAGGGGTGGCCGGGGAGCTCTGGGGCGCTGGAGGAGTGCAGTAGTAGCAATGGAGTTCGGTGACGAGTGCTCGCTAACTGCACACCCATGCGACATGCTAGCGAGGACAACACATCCCAAAGACCCATGAATGGCCCCGCAAGTAGCATTTCTATACATTACGAGGTCACACCAAATACAGATCATGATGTTGTATAAAAAAGCCGGTCCTAGCACTAGGTATACTTTCAAGTGGATGTTTCATTCTAGTTTAACGGCGCTGCCAACTCCCCCAGTTTTTAACCACCGGCCATACATATCCACCACCCAGTACATATCCGCGCTCTAGCACTCTAATCAGCCAGTTTCCATGTCAGATACCCGGCCTCATCAGCTTCTGCCAATCTATCCAACGCATCATACACCTTGCTCTTAAGACCAAGCTTCCCCTTGTACTCGTCGCTCAAAACATCCACAATCTCGCTCCTCGTCCTCTTCCTCTCCTTCACAACCCGAGCAATGGCAGACTCGTTTGGCAGGCCGATGTGCTCATGCGGATACCGCAGATAATCATGGGTATCCGGGCTCTTCAACAACTGCAGCCTCTCGGTCACTCCCTCCTGAATTTCGAAAAAGGCATCAGTGACGCTTTCGTTAGTCTCCTCAAGCGTCGGGGGGCTCCACACGGGTGTCCTTCCGGGTTTCATCAGCCTGGCCTCGACACCCTCCACAAAATCGGGATGCTCCATGAAGCGGGCAGCAATGTAGTGCTCGCGCTGGAAGGTCTCAGCAATCGACCAGTACTTGCCCTCGCGGAGCTGTCTCAAAGTGACCCGGAGAGAGGTAGGGGAGCGCTCAAGCATGGTCGTGAGCGTCTTCTGCGCCCACTCCGACCCATCCTCCTCCAAGGACTTGACAATCTGCTCAATGGTGTCGAAACGGAAATGGCGATCAATGGCTAACCGAATGTTCCCAGAAAGTGTGAAGCCTTCACTGGGGAGCCCAGTAACAAACTCTTCAATAGTTTCATTAATGACATCGTTACGGTCCTCAAGAGTGGCGTCATCGGTGAACCGGAGATCTGCAAGGCGGGCCTCGAGATCGGGGAGAGAGGAGGAGTGGAGATAGTGAGTCGCGATGCCAGCATAGAAGGCCTGCACGCCCTTAAGCGTCTCGCTGGTCAAGGCCAAGTAGGTTCCGATTTGTCCATCGAGGCGGGGCAAGAAGAATCCACCACCGACGTCCGGGAAGAAGCCGATCCTGGTTTCCGGCATGGCAAAAACGGTTCTTTCGGTAGCGATCCGGAAGGGAGCGTGAACACTCAGACCGACACCTCCGCCCATCGTGATGCCATCCATGAAAGCAACATACGGCTTGTCGTAGGTAGCGATGAGGTGGTCAAGCTGGTATTCGAGAGCGAAATAATTGGTAGACTCCTCACGGCCTGCGGCGCCGGTTTTGTTGGCAGCGGCCAGAGCAGCGACATCACCTCCAGCACAAAGCGCCCGGTCGCCAGCACCCTTGAGGATGATGACATTGGCCAATTGAGACTTTTCCCACTCCTGGAGACGAGGCACAATCTTCCTTGCCATGGAGCCATTCAAAGAGTTAAGCTTCTTGGGACGGTTAAGCTCAATTGTCCGCACACCGTAACGGGAGTTGAAGAGGACATCTTCGGGGTCGTCGTTGGGGAGTTCTCTGATGACGGGGGCAGAAGACGACTGTCAAACAACTTTCCATCAGTCAATTCGTCTCAGACGGGTTGCGATTCTTGTGACGTACCATACGGGCGAGAGCTCCGGGAAGCACCTTTGCGCGAAGGGGCATAGCGACAGAGAGAGGGCGTCCGCGGAGGAGGCTGAAGGGCGAGGACTTCGCACAGAAAGCGGTGCGGAAGCTCATGGAGAGAACGTGGGAGGATATTCGGCGGGGAGCGAGGACCTCGGGAGCGAGAGAATGTCTGGAGGGGTCCAGCACAGTGTCGGTACTCGCGGAGAGGGAGGGGCCGGGTATATTGGGGAGGTGATGGGCCGGATTGTGGTGGGGGAGTGCAGGACGTCAGATTTGGACACTCGCGCCCCGCCAGGTCGCTTACTGGCGGACGCCAGAGCCCACCACCGCTCACCCGATCAGCCTTCCTCCTTTGCCCGTTCGTCCGCCTTGATCAGCCTGTTGGAGCAGTTGGGCACAGCCATTGGTACGGATTGATACGCAAACTGTATCATTCCGAGGACTTAGTGCATACTGGCACAGCACTGAGGAAGATGTGCATGCATCTAAACCGACCATCATGAACATGAATGAAGAACCCAATTTCCAGAGTCACTTTGTCTACTCCATTAAGAATCACGTCAATAACTTATTCTCACCACCTGCACGCCTTCAGTATGCCATATCATAAGTCGTCAGATGGAGGTGGGTTGCACATCATCCCAATGCTCCGGATTCCCCCAGCATGCGCGTAAAGGGCAAATGTTGGCGTGATCGTCAAGGCGTGATGGGGTGAAAGATTACGGGTCATCAGTGAAAAGAACCATGCACACCCTCACTGGCACTGGCACTGGCATTCAATCAATATCATCGAATGGATTCTTCACCCACTCTGCTCTCTTCAACGGAAACACCCTTGCCAGCACCTTCCCTCGTATCAATGCCTTTGGTACAGGTCCATACTGTCTTGAGTCCACCGAGTGCGGAAGATTGTCTCCCGTCGTCCATACATGCCCTTGGGGCACCTATTCTTTTTTTCAGCAACCCTTCTTTCTCTCTGCCAGCACCCAGAACCAGCACTGACCTGTAGCATCTCCCCTGTCCCATCCATCGGGTCTTTCACCACAAAGTCTCCCTCCATCCCGATAATGCGCTTTGTGACAAACACTCCAGGCCCATCAACAGGGTGTGTGTAAGATATGACATCCCCAACTTTGCAGCCACGCCCCAGGGTGTGTAGCCGAGAGACTAGGATCCAGTCATCGGTGGTGTTGAAAGTCGGGAGCATTGATGGCCCGAGTGTGGCAGAGACATGGACGAATTTATCCCAGATTAGGTGGAGGAGAAAGATGCTCTGGCTCGTGTAGAATGTGGCCTTGGCCGCTCGCCAAACAAGGTGAGAGCGGGGCATTGGATGGTGGTAAGTGATACGCTATAATCGCATCGGAGGGTACCGGATGATGGTGGGAGGATCTGGTGGGGCGCGGTGGAGAGGGATAAGGTTGGAGTTTGAAGCTGGAGATGAGGTGAGTGAGGTTGTGACCACACTGGTCGTGACCCAGATTGATGACCCAACCCCAAAAGGCCAATTGCGAGGAAGAATCTGGAGCGACTATTATTTTACAGAACAGATATTTCGTCAGCATCGTAGAGTATACGGTATTACTTTAGTCAATTTAATTCCTTTGAGAACTCCAGCAACACCAAGCATCATCAAGCATCACCCTCCAGCGCCCTGGCCCCATCATCGGGCATCACCATCCGCCACCTCTCATGAGTGAACCTCCAATGCCCCTCACCTCCTTCCTCTCGCCACACAACGATGCCAGCTCTCGTAATCAATCCCATCCCGCCCCATTATTCTTCACCCTCTCTCGGGTCTTCCTCAACGCCTCCCACCTCTCCGCCGTCCATACCTCCCTCTCCTCGGTCCGAGCCCATAACTCTCGCCCACGCCCTCCACCGCGCACAACGCCCTCCGTCCCGGCTCACTACCATCCGCAACCGCCGTCTCTGTTACCTCCGATCGAACCCATCCTATTTCACCTCCCCCGATCTTGAACTCGCCGACCCACTCCTCTATGATCGGCTCATCCGGCGTTTCCTCACCCCCGCCGAACGCGAAGAACAAGGCCGCACCCGCGGATTTTCGGGCGTGTTGGAAGCGGATATCCTGCGATCTGAGGCAAAAATAGCGGCTATTCAGGATGCTGAAGCGGACACTGAAGAGAAGGCGGTGAAGATGAATGGCGATGAGGTGGAAACGAGGGAAGAGGGCGAAGAGCTGTGGAGAAGAGTCATGACGGAACGCTTTTTGGCGGGCAATGATAAGGAGGTGGATTATAAAACGATTGACGAAAACGAGGCGTGGGATGGGGAAGAAATGAGAAGGGATGAGGAGGAGAGGTGGTTTGATGCGGAGACGCCGAGATGGGTGGATGGAGGAGGAGAGGAGGAGGGGCTGTGTACGGACACGGGGGTTTTGGATTATTGATTTCTGATTATGGAGGTTGAAATTAGGGTTCTACCCGTCCACCCTCCAACTTTCTGCACCCTCTTTTGGCGAAAGAAATTTCACAGCATCGAATCAGGGTCACAACTCAATGCCTCATCACCTCTTCTAGATTTTGGCACATATCCCTCGAATACGCACACCATGTCTCTCGGCGAAGAAATAGTGCTCTTCGGTGTTACTACGAATCACGCGCTTCATGAATCCTTACATGAATTCTAGGACATATCCCTACTCCAACCATATTTAAGGAGGGTATGAGTATCGCCGAAATACACGGGAAGATACGGCTCAGGTACAGCAACATCATGTGGGAGAGCAAATACTGGGGCTGATGAATCAAGTTCATTGGCCACATAAATCCATCCCAGAGGCATGGCTAGGCCGCGCACTTTAATGGAGACACAGAGACTGAATCGCCGCACAACCGAGCAAATGTTGTTACTATCCTCCAGTGAGAATGTCGATAAAGTCGTGGGACAACCTTCGGAGGGACTAGAAGGGTTAGAAAGATGACGAGTTGATGGATCAGACAGATGAAGCCAGCGACTGTAACGGACATTCGCTGTACATACAAAGAGGAAGAGATGCTATGAATTATTGAACTTCTAGGGTTTGACGAGTGTTTGGTTAATTTACAATACCGGAACTTTTCGAATTTTGTGTGGTGATGGAAAAAAACAGACTGACAGCAACACATTCCTGCAGCTTGATTTTTTAAACTCGTCACAAAAGAATATTGACAAGAGTGGGATTTGAACCCACGCCTCTTTCGAGACCGCAAACCACATTGGATGTGATAAGTCCTGCTGGAACTTGAGTGCGGCGCCTTAGACCGCTCGGCCATCTTGCCTTTTAATAGTATACTTTCATATTCAACATACATAAAGTAACTGGTATCATTGCAGTGAGATTGCAACTTTCGATAACGAATTCTCATTGGATGCTGGGATCACCAGTCATCGTAGACGTTAGCGATACGGCAGTGGTTATTCTTTATATTACAACCTAAGTTTTTTGGAATGAAGCTAGTAAAAGGGCCTTAAGTCCCCTCAACCAATGGTTTTCTAAGAGCGGAGAGTGATGGGAGTGAACAGAAAAGGCGTACGCATACGTATCAATTCCACCGCCCGCTCTCCACTGCTCTCTTGTTCTTAATGCTTGCCTCACAACCTTCCATTTCTCTACTCCACGCTCCTCACCCTCCTTCGTATACTCGCGGCTGGATCCGTCGCTCGTCTCTCTTTTGATTATTCTTATCCAATATCGTCACCAACTGCCCACGCTCATTTCAACCTCTGCTGCTTCTGCCATCCTTGGCCACGATTTGATCACTCCCGCTGATCTTTTCGTCCCCGGTTAACGTCCCTCTGATTCCACGCATCGACAAGTACGGTACATTTTTTGCTGCAAAGATTTCTATCAGTTACTGATACTTTATAGTTATTGTGTCCGCTGCACCGACAGCAAGCACACAACAAAACAAAACACAATTCTCGGCATCCAGCTCGTCACAATGCCTCGTCTCACGTTTCTCACTCTCTTGCTCTCCTTGGCTCTTGCTTTCCCTTCCCCGCCTGCAATCGAGCCATCAATGCAAACATCGAACCCCTCCCACTCCAACCTCGTTCACCACCCCGACCTCAACGCTCACCCCATCAACTCCCGGAGCCAATCATACCTCCTCTCACTCATTACCTCCAACGTCGATTCAACACTATCCAGTGACCATTTCGCTCTGTAGAACAGCAGCATCGGTCACCTGATTCCATTATACCAGCCTGTCGAAGTTCTATACACCCGCTACATTCATCGAAATATTGAACCTTCATGGGAATATGATGAGGTAGACGAACAAGATGAAGACGACGATGCACGCTACCTTCCCAGCTACTGGGGAGAACCAAGATCACTCCCTGCGGTTGAGTATTATGCTGATGTGCTCGCTGCATTTGTGGATGCCTTTCGCCCCAGTTTGGGCTATACTATCCAAGGACTCGTTGATACAACGGGTATTGTTACCGGTAGTGTTATGGAGAAGGTGGTTGGATTGCTATGGAGGCGTTGGGAGGAGATTAACGTCAAGTCTTTGATTAGAAGGTTGGACAGGAACATGGGGATTCCCCGTCGGTGCGCTGGGGGAATCGTTGGGCCTGGAAGATTGGATGAAAACATGATTCTAGGAGGTTTTTCCAACTTGATGTTCTAAGACAAGTTGGTTTGAGACTGTTGAGTGCCCTAGGCTGGATGGAAGCGATTTTCGGTTATTAGAAATCGCGGATAGCTACGCAAGGGCCGATGGAAGTGGGTTGTGTTCGTCGTTGTTTGTATGATTGTGTGATGCTACTGGTAGACGTGTAGACTCAAGAGTACGTGTTATTGTATTGTGTCCTAAAGAGAATAGAGGGACATTGTCTGGGCTGCTAAGTTATTGACTGGGTGGAGAGATTTCGAGAGCTTTTGGCCTTTGCTTCCTCGAGCATCGAACCTTCATTCAACACTAACCCATCAATTTCCCACCAGCAACAGCATCCAGGTGTCAACAACCGGCAAACTGAGCGAAACCATTGTGAAGATGCATGGTAATAAAAATGAAGTATTCATCTGTCCAAATCCCTTTAAATTTCCTTCTTCCAACTGAGAAATAACCAGGCCCGCAGAGTGAATTGATAGCCAACGCTGTTGAATCTTGTCATCATACTTCTTCGGTCACGCGGCTCGGCACAAACGCGCAGGGTCCAGACTTAAGCTCGACGGACTTCGCGAGTCACCTCCTCCGGAATCTCCTTAGATACCCCATGAACCAACACCAAAACATGAGAAACACTACCAAACCAGCAGTGAATTCTGTTATCTAAACCAAGTAAGTGCCCTCGATCCACCTCCTATGTACTGGTAGTTGATTAACCTCCATCAGCTTTCTTGACCTCCACAAGAGCTCCTCCAGCTGCCCGCAATGGAGACCATATTATCATCTCCCACCCACACCAATCTCGACCCCAATCACGCTCACCCCAATCCCATTCCCTTACATACACCATCATCCATGGACACCTCACCGACCCACAATGCCTCCCCGGCTATGGATGTCGACCTCTCCGACTCCACCACCACCGAGTCCGAACCGGAAGCCATCGCCGCACGCCCAATCGCCCGCCCCCCCTCACCCCCACTGCACACGCTCTCGACCTCCGAACTCATCAGCCGTCTCGAGCGCTCCGAACACGAACGAGAAACCTGGCAACTCTCGTGTGATCGCACAGCCAAACTCTTTGTCGAATACCGTGACCACAACAATGAGCTCCTCACCGAACGGCGGTCGCACAAGAACATCGTGTCGGCGTTGGAAGAACAACTTGCGCGGACGACGGCGCAGCTCCAGATTGCGAATGATAGGAATCGAGAGCTGAAGGAAGAGCTTGATGGGCTAAGGAGGGATATGAAGACTGGGTTTCCGCCGTTGCAGAGGTTGGAGGCGTTATCGGCGGAGGTAAAGGAGGGGAGAGAGGAAGTAGCGGCGTGGAAGCAGAGGCATCAGAATAGGGAGAATGAGGCGAATTTCTTTAGGGAACAGTATCAAACTGCGTCCAATGCGAATTTTGCCAATCATCAACAGGTGCAGGAGTTGTCGAGGGAGATTGAAGTGTTGAAGAGATTGGCCGATGAAAGATCATTGAAGCTGAGGGTGATGAATGATAGCCAGTTGTTGAGGGCAAAAGAGATGGAGATTGTGGTGCTGAAGGAAACGTTGAAGGAACGGGAGAAGAAGGTGGAGAGGTTGGAAAGGGAGAAGAAAGAAAGGGAGTCGGAAAAGGATCGGCTACTTAGGGGCATGAGGGGAAACTGGACAACGAGAAGCGGAAGTGTTCCAAGAAGGACCGTGACACCGGCTGCGGGAGTGAAAGGAAGTCCGGGAGTGAGTCCTGCAGTTAGTAGGACAGGCAGTCCCACAAATGGAGGGAAGGATAAAGGGAAGGGTAGTTGATTATATGTTGGCGGGGTATTTGGGGGGTATTGATTAAGATCGAGATTATAATACATGCCCTGGGAGGGCTTATTCTTATCCCACTGCGCCTACTGGTCATTGCATTCAAAGGGCAGACATTTATTGACACGATTAAAACCCCATTCTCCGCTTTTTCACGGCTGGTCTGGCTCCGTGTCGTCCTCTCTCGACTTGGCTCATTGGCATGCCCAATGGCTTACTCGGTGCCTGACTTTGCCGCTGACTTTGCGAATGGCCATCACCCATCCTCTCCTTCTCTCTCACCGGCTGACTTGCCCCTACGGTCTCCTCCCGACGATCTCCTTCTCCCTTGTCTTTCCTCGTCACTGGAACCACCACCATCGGCTGGCTCATGGACATCCCCCCAAATCCTGATGCTTTCGACACCGCACTAGCAACACTCATTCCCCTTTCCAGCCTCCTCTCCTCCCACCTCTTCTCGCGCTCCTTCTGTCTCCTTTCCCGACGTTCCTGCTTCTCTTGTTTCTCCTTCTGCTTCTGTTTATCGCGCTGTCTTTGGGATCCTAAGTCGGATTGGTCTTTATCCGTGACAGAAGAGTAACTGAAGGAAGGAGAATTCGGATCAGAGCCTAGTTCCCAGTTTGATAGAATGGAATTCAGACTCGACGAAAGCGAAATGCGGGTTTGGAGGGGTGCATAATGTCGGATAATTTGCAGGGGTTCAGGTGGCAGCTCGACGGTATTATTAGCGATAGAGAAGCGATTGATGGCTGAGGTTTCGGACATTTGGGAATCGAATTGTGACTGGGTTTGAGAAAGAGGTTGTGAATAATTTTCCTGGGAGAATTGGGATTGCTGCGACTGCCAATACAAATTATATCCAACTTGCCCAGGTCTCAAAGGCGGCGGTTGGACTGCTTCTGGGTCTGGAATAATACTCAATCCAACACTTGATAGGAAGTGGTCTGCTGCTACCAATCGAGCTAACCGTTCCCTTCTTAATCTCACTTTATTTGGTACCTCATCCGGCAATGGCTGCACTCGCGTGCGTATCAAATGGTTGTATATTGTGTTAATCAGGTATGTAGTAGCCGATGCATTCAGATCAGGGTCAGAAAGATCTGATGCATCGAGTGTGGGTAGTATGGATCGTGGGAGGAGGTGGGTTAGTTGATAGGAAGATTGGATGCGGTTGGAATTTTGAAGAAGCTCTTGGATAGTGACTTCAAATGACTGGATGTCGTCAAAGAGGAAGGCGGGCTGTTGTATTTCGAGTCTTGGAGCATGTTAGTGGTTGGTGAACTGCTGAAACAGAAAGAGAACGAACAAAGAACATATACCCAGCCCGCCGCGCTCGACTCTTCGCTCGAGATCACGCTCAACTCGGCGGGCATATCCTAATGAAGAATGGTCGCTATTATCACCACTGACTGTTTTCAATTTCCCTTCGGTGTCGATATAGGCCATTTTGTAGATACCACGTAGATTGATTCGTTTATGAGTTTGGAAAATCTCTGCAAGCTTTAACGTTCGCATTTTTTTCTCATCGTCGTATACACGCCGTGCTTTCCCCTCCAGCACCCAGTGTTTCCCGAGAGAAGTTGGGTTTCTGGGGACCTCCACTTCTTCCTCTTCGTTGCTATCTGAAACGACAAACTCTGCTGATTTGAATTTCTGCCGCCGTTTATCGCTGGGAGCGCAGACAGTTAATGAAGCCTTCTCCGGGGCCGTGTGGTAGATGCGTTGTGTGATATCGTGTTGTTTATTGAGTGACATGGCAAGGATGTATGATTTGTCCAGATCTCGGTCGGGGGTACTATCCTCATCATCGACTTGCAAAGTACAAGGGATAAATGTGGTCGTCTGTGAACCGGAAGAGATGGTAT